TAATATATATATATATATATATATATATATATATATATATGAGTAACATCAATATTTGCTGCTTATATTTCTTCATTCAATATATCTTTTTATTTAGGGAATAGAGTTTATAAAATAGAAACTAAAGAATCTTCTGCTGGTAAGATGGTGTTTGTTTGATAAACATACGTAGTATATATCTTCAGTCTTTATGGGAATGAAGCAAACTACTGACAACAATTAAATTTATTCTTATATTATTACATTTCAAAAACAGAAACAAATATTTAAACTACTTCAAAACTAGGTTTTCAAAGGCCAATAAAGTTTTAATTCAAATCGTAGTTTGGAAGATTATTTTTTTCCTGTACTGTTCACCTTGCTTACAACGCTAAATCCGGGGTTCGATCCCCCCCGGTGGACAGTGTGTAAGTAGCTTATTGTAAGTAGCTTCAACTCACTGTACTTACTGTATCTGTATTTGTCAATAAAATGTCTTCTTATACCTTGTTAGGCCTTATCAAAAGACTTATTTGAAATCCTTATATCCATCTGACTATTAACTTGACATGAAAATTATACTAATTTTTCAACTGACAATAAGCGAACACTTACAGTAAAATCATATTTGTAGGCATGAATTTGGGTAGGAAATAGTTTTAAGTTATTCAACACCGTATTATTTGAGAAAAGTAATAATAATAATTAAAGGAGAAATTTAAATCTCCTACTTAATATTCAAATATGTTATGATATTTCTAGAGATTATGTATTGTAGCTTATGTATATATTCATATAAACAAAAAGTAGAATCTATCCAGAAAGTTTTATCTATATAGATTATCAATATGAAGTATTCGGCCGACACATCAAATAACAATATCTTGGAACTAGTATTTGACTAAAACCCAACATCTTTCCTCTTGGGATCAAAGTCAGAAGATAAAGAAAATCAAATGCGTATCGCTATGTGGGTCGACAGCACCCATTCCACATGAAATGTTTGACAAGTTTATCGCATCGAAACTTCCATGTGACATATCAGTCCCAAGTCTCCACCTATTAAGTTAGCTATGAGCGCTCGTAAAATTCTCCCTGGTGGTTAATATAATGAGCTTAAGTTAACGTTCCTATGTCTACTGAGAATAAATATCTTGTCAATATCACCAAGTGATCTTCGTTAGTCTCTTTAGAATCACCGAAGTGATGGATGATGGGAAGTCTTCTCGTTCATTTTGTTTTGTGAAGTTTCCTGTGGGATGTTATAAACATTTCATAGTCTTTTTTTTTCTGATGCTTGTTTTTTTCTTTTTTTATAATAAACAGACCTGAGCTTCCATTTTTATCTATATAATTATAACCAGTTGGTATTTGACTGCTTGGAACTGTAACAAGTTACGAGATATTAACAAAAACATACTGAAACGTTTATTTTAGTTATAAATACATTTACTTTAAGATTCATAGGATAATACAAACTTACGAGGTTCATCAACACCAGATTACGTAGGCAAGATTGAAGATGAATATTGGAATATTAATTGAGATGTATTATCGATTGTGCACTGACTCAGTTCATTGGACCAGAACCGTATTGTAGAAGGAATACTGACTTTAATTCCGAATTTATCAGATGTATCTACACGAAATATGGCAAGATTTTTGTAATCAGATCAGTTACAGAGGACTTTGTGCTCAAAATAAATTTGTGAATTAACGACGTTAACTTGATTCAGGCTCTGAGAAGTCGGTGTGAATGGTGACGTTCGCGTGGACAATAAAAATCTTTTATCGATGGTAGAATTTGCATATTGCATTAGCATAACCTCTAGAACCTTTGAAATATATATATCTTCACTTTTTTAAGTATCTTTATATTGTATCTGGTACTTACTCCTCTATCATGAACGTTCGCTAAGTCAGCAATGTAAGATAAAAGGAATAGTTGATAACTCTGATATAAAATGCATAATATCATGTTTAATGTCACTCTGTAAAAGGCCTTTGACCCCCACCCGTTCACATATGATTAAAAAGCTATAACATCCTCAATACACGGAAATTTGTGAAGGGCTTAGACAAACATTCCTCTTGAAGACTTAAGGAAGCTTATTAGCACCTTGCATCTGAGAGGTAATGTCTAGCATGATATTATCAGCAATGTAAAAAAAAAACAAAAATATCTAACTTGTAGCAATATGAGAGAAATAGATAGAAACAAACAGTCCGCAATGAAACATTACTGAAATTTCAATATTTTATATGACGCACAAAATGTATATATACATAAAAAATAGAGATTCCTAGATGTTAACGATTACAACTGTAAGATCGTTTTGTTATTCTACCAAAAAAAATTGCTTCGTCAGCTGAGTATGTTTGAAAAACATTACTACATGCCATATTGATAATAAGGATATTCAGTGGCCGGTCTGTGTACTGAGAAGAGGAGCAGATATTCGTTATTCTGTTGCCGTTAGATGATACCGTTTCTCCTTTTAAGAAAGATAAATAGCACCAAGCATGGCAGAATGCAATCGTTAGACATGAATTGTTAAGGCTATTTTTGCAATTACTTTTCTCAGTAGTTGGTTGGTTGTTGTCGAATGCAAAGCCATACAATGGCCTATCTATGCTCTGCCCACCGCTCGTGTTTTAGTGAAAAATACAAAATTCAATAATTAATGAACTGAGCCTAAACTAGTATGGAGTCTGCAGATAGAGAAAATTCACTACATTAAAATATTAAGTAAAAAATGCAGGAATATTACTACCGGACAGAAGATGATCGAGAAATAAAACCATCAGTTATAATGATGTCACAAATATATAATAAAATACTCGATATGCTCATTGTCACAGACAAAAAAAAAGTCAGATATCATGTAAATGATTAATAACATATCAGTTATTTCTTTTATATAATAACTCTGTTGAAGTAAGCTGGATAAACGTATTCCTTCGCGCAGTCAAGACATACAAATTTATATATGACAGATTACCGCTTATTATTAGGATAACATTATTACAATGACAAAATTTTTATTTTCACGACAGATTTAAGCACTCGATTAATTTGTGGATAACACAATCAGATGTAGTAATTAATTGGAATTATTTGAAATAAACAACCAGATCATTTCCTCTTACTAAACTCTTAATTTCAAAACAGAAATGTTGTAATAAACATATACGTATTCACACATTTATATTAAATTACAGACTGTGTTGTAGTACATTAACGTGCGCGCCTGTATACGATCATAATATGGTTTAAATAGCAATCTTATTCTTTTTATTTTGTGACCTCCGATGCCAAGCTGCCAAATCGAACGTTTTTCAAATCATTCAAAAATTATCTAAGTCTTATAACTTGGGGAGAAAATAAAGTAATCGCTTTTTTTGACAGCAACATTGCTTTTATTAGAGACAAGCCGTGAGATACTGGAAGAATGGTGGAGCCTATATATTCCTCCAAGCAGACAGATGATAGATGGTAGACGACCGCTTATTATTAGGTATAATAGTGTTAAAATGTAAGAACAGTGTTTTTATTTTCACAGTAAATGTAAACATACATATAATTTTCTTATGTGTATAGAGCTTGCTCAGGTTTACTACATTCCTCTCTATTCTTAACGTATTACGATTGCTCATTATTTAGTCTGTTCTGAACATAGTCCGTGCGGAGATCCAAATTAGATGTCAATTTGTATATGTTGTGAGACTAAGAAACTTTTTTTTCAAATTAAGAATGTTATTCCTAGAAGGTTCGAGTTAGCTCTTGGTAGAGTTCCGAATTTCCCTCGATTTAAAGACTTAAAGTGTAAGTGCATTATACAAGTGGTAGTCGATCCGTTAGCGTTGATGGTGGGTGGTCAGGTGCTGTTGACAGGATGTTTTCTCTCTGGTCAGTAGATGAGAAATTAGGGACGCAGGTAACCTTAGTAGCTTTGCATAAATAAAAAGTATAAATACAAAATATCCATAGGAATAAGTGGTCGATAGTAATCTACAAATTTCCTTATCCTGGTTGCGTAGAGTAGTATGCAGGTTCAACCATTATGGCTTTCTGCTCGTATGAAATAATATAGTGTGGTAAGCCTAAAAACTCTTCACGTTCCTTAGGTCAAAACAAAACTTAATCTCAATGAATAATTTTGTTAAACTGAAATTGTTCTCAGAAATTTTTAGAGTCAGCAAACTGTCTCTAGCCTAAAAAAGTAAATTATTGCTAACTTGTTGTACAATACTTTTTTTTCAACAAAGGCCAACGAGTATGAGACTGGGTAGATTTCGGATATCCAATAGAAAAAAAATATTTATTTACAAAAAAAAAAAAAAATACCAAGAAACTTTTACCTCAAAAACAAAACGAGCGAATTTGGAATAAATTGGTGTTACCTAAGTAATGAAACAAGAGGCTAAGCAAACTCAGTCCATTTGAAATTTACTATTTACATTCTCTTGTCTCTCAGTAAAAACGTGTGTATTTTCTTATAGGAAAGCCACACAGGGCTGTCTCCTGTGTC